TAAGAAGTAAGAGAGAGGTAGACGGAAGGCAGACAAATGGACTACAGTACAAGGCGAAGGAGGGCCGTCAAGCGGCCACCTATGAGGACCAAGGATGGAAGCCGAATTAGCCGCGTGCAAGAGACAACAAACCAAGTAGCATTAATGACTACTGAAGCCGGGCGCACGGATCGTGGTTGGAGGCATGTGTTGGGAGGAAGGTGGGTGCAGGGAGGGGGAGGGCGGGGTGGTCTTGTCTGTTCAAAGGGGGCTCCGCGATCTCCACCGCTAAAAAGGGGGAGAGTGGGGTGAGAGGACTTTTGTGGGAGAGGGGTGGGAGCTCTCGAGCTGTCCCGTGGTCGTGGTCACTTTTGTCTGTAAAAGACACGTACCACGTACGCACGCGAGAGACGCCTTATAGTCAGGCGCTTTGGATCCTTACCGAACCCATGTGCATGTGCATGTGGCCGTCACCGGGTGTGTTCGATTGTGTAAAAAATCGGCAATAGGGCGCCCCCAGGGGCCGCCCCTGGCAGCCCCGCGCGCGCGGACAACAAAATACTCCGCCGCCCCGAACGCCCCCAGAAAACAACATACTAGCCACACAAGCGTCACGAGTTTACGAGAGTACTCAAAATAAATTCCTGGAGTGCCCGGCCGCGCCGGCAGCAGGCCGCCGTACGCGTGCGGAAAACGAGCCGCCGCCGCCGATCGCTCTCGAAGAGCGTGGCGCAGCTGCCCATTCCCGGTGACCATAGCACGAGTTGAGTCGCCAGGGCCTCACCTGAAGGGGGGCAAGGCAGGGGCGAGGGGATGAGGACGAAACCAAGCGTCCGGGGCCCTGCCGGAAGGTGGTGGGCGAGGCGTGGACGCACCTAAAATACGAGCAAGTAGCGGCGACGGCGAGGGGGAGGCGACGGCGAGGCGGATGGAGGCGGTGGCGGCGGCGAGGCGGAGGATGGCGGCGGCGAGGACGAGGTCGACGGCGGCGTCGGAGACGGCGAGGACGACGGCGGCAGCGGTGAGGGCGAGGCCGACGGCGGCGGTGGCGGGGGTGAGACGGAGGGCGGCGGCAGCAACGGCGAGACGGACGGCGGCGGTGGCGAGGGGGGGGCGGACGGCGGAGGCGGTGACGGCGACGCGGACAGCGGCGGCGGCGGTGGCGACGCGGAGGGAGGCGGCGGCGACGCGGAGGGAGGCGGCGGCGACGCGGAGGGAGGCGGCGGCGACGGCGAGGTATCTACAGGAACGGCGGCGGCGAGGGCGAGGCGGAGGGAGGCAGAGACGAGGGCGAGGCGAGGAAGGCGGCGGTGACG